TATGGGCAGAGCTGTGTGCTGGGGTGGCCAGGGCTATGGACCAGGCCTGAGGAGAACTGGCAGAGTGGTGTGTGGAGAGCCCACTACTGGCCTAGTGGGGCTACTGTGGGCCGCCACTGATGTGCACTGGCAGAGGCATTTGCACTGGGGGTTAGCCCCTGGCTCCCTTTCCCAAGCCCCACACTTGCTCAGATATTTCCCTGTCAAAGCCGAGGCTCTGAAGTGCCCTGTCCGGTCTCCTCTTCCCCTCTCCTTCCTTTGGCCTTGGCAGGCACAACACATCAGGCTTTGGCAGCTAAGAATGTGGAAGAAGTGAGCAGGTTTCAGTTTCTTTAAATAAAGTCCTGATTATTTTCTAACTTTCCACTTCCGTAGCCACGATGGTCGGGGACATCCGTCCACCTGCCTCTATGTGATTTTATGTTTTTAAATGGGTCAGACATTAAAAGTGTGGAGATGAGAAAACGCTGCCAGGAATGTCTGAGTCTATAATGGGCTAACAAGATGCTGAGAAACCCATTGTTCAACGTGGCCGACTAACGTACCAGGCCTTAATGCTCCAGTGAAGCCGAGTAAACATGGTGGTGACATAAACGCCTCATGTGCATAAAACTGGGTGGAAACAAAACAAAGTTCAACCAAACTTCTTTTCCGGGCCATCTGCCTTGCAGGAGCCTCGGTTGGTGGGGACCCTTTCGGGGTGTTTGCCCCCAGGGCTGGTGAGCTAAGGGGCTAATTGCCAGAGAATGTCCCCATCAACCAAGGCCCCTGCAAGGCAGATGGTCCGGAAAAGAAGTTTGGTTGAACTTTGTTTGTCACAGATTCTGTATTTAATGCAGGCGGTTCATGGCCTCGGGCTACAGCAGGAGTTTGGCTGCGTTCAGACCCAGTGCCTATAACCTCGGCTAGAGCGCCCAGAGGGGGCAGCACGGGTGCGAGTCTGAGTTTAAAACAGTGACGACCTCTGTAAGCGGGACAAGGAAGCTGGACACTACCCGGGTGTGCTGCAGCCTCCTTCCCTGGCCGCTGCCCTTCTCCACGCCAGCCCCTTACCCAGGCTGTGTGCCTTTGGGCGGTATCCCAAGTACTGTCTGCACAGCACAGCCTTCCAGGACAGCTTCCCCCGCTCTGCTGGCCCTTCTACCCCCAGTGCACCATGGCTCTTGCCAGGAGCCGAGCATGTCTTTCTGGGCCTCCTCCCCGCCCCCACCTCCACTTGGCAACCCATGGATTCCAGGATGAAAACAATTTCTAATCTGCCCTTTAATCCAGCAGCGTAGCGTTATGCCATTGGCTGTGGGATCTCTGGTTGCTGAGGGTCTCCTTCATCTAGCTCTGCGGGCCCAGGAGGTGCCTTCCTGTTCCAAGACAGGGTGTGCCCACAGTGAGGCCCACGTGGAATTCATCAGCAATGATCGGTTTCAGGGGGTCCTCTGTGCTGGCTGCCATCACCTTGTCATAGGGAATCACTGGCAGCTTGTAGGTTGTAACACATCCTTCCTTCACCCTGAGCGTCTCCTCTCAGGCCCCGTGTGTCTAGTTTAGCTCCATGCCTGCTAGGGGCCTAGATTCAGCAGTGATGGGCACAGGAGAGACACCCATAACATGCACAGAGGGTGTGTCCTGATGTCCTCTCCATTTTGCAGTGGGACTGGATAGGTCTCCCCACGCCAGATAGTACCGCTGTGACCAACTGGCTCAGCTCAGGCCACTTCTCTAGCCAGTCCTCGAGCTCTCCCTTATCTGACCCTAAGCTCTCTGGGACTCGGCCGCCTCCATTCCTATGCTGACCTATCAGGCTACGCCCCAGGCCTCCCTCACTCTACCCATAATCACTCCGCTGTCTGGCCTTTCGTAAGGGCCGTAACTCTGCATGCAGCAATGTTAACAAGGCTGGACCCTGCCCTCCCACTCCGCCCCTAGCCCGGGAGGGGGGGCAGGATTTACTGGGGGCTCTACCTGTGCAAGGAGGGTGAACTGAAGTCTGTGCAACGCTGATGGCACCAGCTCGGCCGACGTGGGACTGAACCAGGACCTCCACTGAAAACACACCTCTCTACAGCTTGAGTGGCAGGCCCAGGTGTTCCAGCTTGAACTGGGACAGACTCACCCCCGCTGTGGGTCGGGCACAGGGTGGGGCACAGAGCACGCAGTGACCAATGGGCTACACAAGCACCAATTCACCTGCCAGGCACCCGGCGCCGTCCTCAGCAGATGCCTCCACCTTGAGCATCTCTAAACCCAGCTCTCCTCCATCACCAGCACTGTTCCCAGGAGCTTCCAGCCTCCCCCTCAAACCCAGGCTGTCTCTGAGGAGTGTCGTTCCCAGCCCAAGTCTCTGACCTGCCTGCATCTAAGCCCATTCCTTGACTAGCTCTTCGGCAGTACCCTGCCCGTGCCTTACCAGGGCCTCTCCTTTGATCAACATTGCAATTGGCTTCTCCTAGACGTATAAAAGACTCCTCCGTGCCCCAATCCTGTGCGGGTCCCGGCGCTGGCCCAGGAGCCATGGCATTGTCTTGAGGTGCCTCATCACAACAGAACTGCAGAGATTCGTGGGGCCCTGGT